ATAATAATAATAATAATAATAATAATAATAATAATAAAAAAAGTGTCCTCCTTAACTGTCATCTGTGTTGTAGGAGGAGATGATTAGGTTCAGTCCTGCTTATCAAACCACAGCTGCGAATTAAAGATTAGCTGCAGCTGTTTGCTGGTACAAGGCAAGTTATTCTGGAAAAGAGACACTGTTGGGAAGTGTAAGGGCAGCGATGAAATGCTTTAGCTCTAATGCCTTCTGTCAAACAACATATTGGGTATACATAAGTAATTCAAAAACAATTTTTCTCAAATTTGCACATTTGTTTTTCCATTTTAGAGTACCGGTAGTTGATGTTATAATCCAGCATCATTCCTGATAGTACCATCACTTGAAGTTTATACCAAGGCAGGGACAAGATATATAAATGGATTCATTAAAAAAAAAAAGTTATTGAAGATTCCTTAAGGCAAAATGTAATTTCTAATTTGTATTTGGCAAATATTGATAAATGTGTAGCTGTTGGCAGATCCTCTTAAGACATGGAACAGTGTTTAATACACAAGTCCTCTGTTGTTGCTACACTGGATTCTTTTATTCACACAACTGCCCTCACCTCTAAGACATAGTAGCAGCCTGAAAATGATCATTAATGGGTAAGTCTCTTTTTTTGGGGTGTTCATAGTGTAAACATAGTTACTGCAACTGAACTTCTTGAGCTTTAATTTAAAGCTGCATTAATTACTATTTAGCTCAAATTCAGATAAATTGAGTAAAAAATTGTCTGTGTTGTCTCCCTGCTGTATGAACTACCTCCACCCCACTTTATCTTCAGGCCGTTTATTTTTGCCCTTTGTGGCCAATGTTGGTAAAATCCGCACTACACTTCTTCCACACCCCGCTGATCCGCGGTTGCATTTTTCAAACTGATATGGCTTTCAAAGACAGACCATGGTTGTCCCTGTGCATGTACAACCCAGGATGGGAGTAGAGCTGTTAGACCCAAGACGCTGCGTTCTGTAGTGCAAAACCAGGGTTAAAATTGGTTTGGCATGTCAGAGATGGAGAATGTTAAAGTCATCCGAAGGACTAAAATTTGACACGGATGTGGCTTTTTTCCTGCTAGACGTGCAGGTACTCTAGCTGGTTAACATGTATAGGTCTGCGTCATTAGCAAGCTAACGTTAGCATTTCAATTTTGTACCTTTGTATTGAATTATTGTGGTTGTAATGTGGAGTCATTCCAAATGACTGCAAACGGTTAGTGTTTTGTTGTCTGATTAGCAGACGCCTGCGTGTTTTCCTGGATTAGCAAATGAAGTAATTTTGCTAATTTTTGCTCAGTATTGGTCCTGTTTATGTTGGACATAACAGCAGTCCATGTAGGATTTTAGTGAGAAGTTGTTAAAAGTTATGGCATAAGCACAACTAGAAAAGTGGGTGTTTGTTCAACTATCAAAGCATAACATGAAAATTCTCTTGTTTCACAAACAACTCACAGTTACATGGCATGTAACACTGAACGTGATGCGATAGTGGCCAGAACATTAGTACTGTATCAATATTACTGGGGGGGAAAAAAACATTTCTCAGTATTTTGTGATGGTTGTGTGTGCCTCACCAGAGCTGAGAGCTGCTGGTTTATCCTCTACCGACTGTAAGATGAACGACTAAAAACATGGTCGGCTCATCCAGTGTATCTTGTGGTGTAGCCATATTGTAATAAAATGTGGGTCAAGGTTTGGAACTTCACGTGTCAGGTTAAAGGCTACATCCGCAATGATTCGCATGTCAGCGATTAGTTTTAGACAGCAGCTCAGCTGTGTGGCCAGAGGAAGGAAGTATAAGAGATCTTATCATGACGGTAGGGCTTTAGGTTTGTCCTTCTTCTTCTTCACGTAAACAGTGATAACTTTAGGTTTGTCCTTCTTCTTCTTCTTCACGTAAACAGTGATACGCTGTTTACGTGGTGTGGAGATATTATCGCCCTCTGTTTTGTGCACACTCGGTTGCATTCAGTGTCTGGATTCAGGTCAGAATAGGATGTTTGCCAGAGCAGGCACCATTCCAGTTGTCATGAAGATTTACTTAGTAGGGATCAAAATAACAAACACCTCTGCAGACCCTCAGAGCATGTTTTTGCCACAGTGACAGGGTTGGACACACAGAAAGAGCAGAAACGATAGGATGTGTTGGATTTCAGCTGCTCAGTGTGACATGTTGCCTCAGCAGACTGAGATTATGAACTAGTCTGTTTCAGTTAGATGAATGCAAGGTCTTACAGACGTGTGTGCGAGGATCCCTTCCATAATTTTTCCTGTTTCTACGCAGCAATCACTTATTTGTATTTGCTTTAGTTTTAATCATTGTGCATTCCTTGTCTGACCATAGCACAGATATAGCACAGCTGCTCACCTCTGCCTCCACCAGGCACAGCACAGTGTGCACTACAGAATAGCACTGCTTGTGTGCTAAAAGGGAACAGAAACAGAATTTGGGATTGCATAACCACTGTTCATCCTCCTAAAGTAAAATGAGGAAAACATTTATTGGGACATGCTATGAAGTTTTTATTTGTGCTCAGAAGGCAAAAAAGCTAATCATTTCCACTCTGATCTTTTTTTTTTGTTCACGTCACCAACACTAGTTGGTTTTGGTGATCATCCCTGTTGCTGCAGCAACGCATTATGTTGCTGTAACGCCTGCAGTGTATGAGCTGTAACGTTGTGTTGATAGCCATGGTACTGACAGTTAAGACTTACAGAAATGAAGATTGATCTGCTTGAAATGAAGCTGTTATGGAGTGGTGCAGTCGAATTAATGTGCACTTGCCGTGGTGTTGTGACTGTAACGTACAACATGCATCAAGGAGCAATGTAATGCTGCCAACCTTCTCCCATCATATCCGGTTGCAAAGATAGCATCATATCAAACACTGTGTTACTCACTCTGTGTACATGATGCACGAAAATGTCTCTTGTGCATTTTTGTCTCTCTTCATCCTTTTTTCCTCTCTGTCTGTATCAACATTTTCCTCCTTCTGTCCATCTTGGCCCCTTGTAGGAATAGGTAAGAGTCACTCCAATGTATCAAGCATGACCCTTCCCTCTCACGGCCACCGATCAGTGCCCCTACCTGAAGCCCTCAGCTGCATGCCTGTTGATTCCACCGTCCACTTCCTCTAAGCATGAATTATCTGTCCTGATATTACAGTGGCAAATGAACTACCAGATACTGAAATACAACAGCCAGTCAATCAAAGCCAAAGACACAGAGCCCTTCAATGGATATTGTTGCTCACCATCAGCTCTACCGGTGCCCAAGCATGTAGTTTGAGCATGGGAAATGACTGATAATTTAGTCCTGTCATCTTTTGTTTCTGCCCTGGTTTTGTCATTTGGAAATTGATGTTTTAACTTTATGGGGTGTCATTTGTAGGCGTGGGTAAAGGTTTCTGTTAACTTTTTATTGTATTCAAAGCCTTTATGCTCTTTAGTATCATTGTCAAAGAAAATGTTTCCCTAGGTCTTTGTTGAGATACTTGGCTGTAACCCTTGTTGTGATATAGCAGCAGCTTAGCTTAACTGTCTGCTCCATTTGTTCTTTGTGGTAACGTTCAAAAATGGAGAAACATCATAATATCAGCATGAGATGTTTGAAACGTCTACATGGTAGGTTTTAATCCCCAACATTAAGTCAGGTATAAAAGATTTATAGGTTTAATTTGTAGGTAGCTGCACAGTTGTTTACATTTTGTAGTTTGTGTCTGGAGTTTTACATGTCTTGTTGTTCTCAGCAGGATTTGGTGTTCTTGTCAGGACGTGCTGCATCCACTGCACTGTATTCTGTTACTTATAAATCCACATGAATCCCCGAAGCATCTTGGTAAAAGCCAAGGAATAATTTCTCATCTGTTTTTAGTAGACGTGAATTGAAACGTGATTCATGTGACCTTTATGTATGGTTTAAAAAGTACCCCCCCCCATGGAGTCCAGTTAATTATCATGCTGTTGCCTCAGTGTCAACACGGGCTCACAGAGCTCTCTCTCTCTCTCTCTCTGCTTCCTGGTAATTATCACCGTTTACACAAAACATTCCTTTGTCCCTCTAAGTGCCCCAACTCAACATGTCCTTTTAAAGTTGGTTGGAAAGCATTGTTGTTGCTTGAGTCCAGTGCAGAGCTGGATATCAAACTCACAGAAGTCACATTGCAGCAGCATTTTCACACGATGTCGCAGGGTGGGATAGTGTTAATAGCAGCCTCTCAGTTGTGTAAAAGTCTGGAGCGGGTCTCTCATCTACCAACATAAATGCCCCTCTCTCTTTCGTTCTTTCTCTCTCTCACATCCCAGGCGTAATGCAGTGGATGCGTTCCGTGTGAACGTGATTCACGCCCGCCAGCAGGTTCGATCCCCGGTGACCAACATCGCCCGCACCAGCTTTTTCCATGTCAAGCGCTCAAACATCTGGTTGGCAGCAGTCACCAAGCAGAATGTCAATGCTGCCATGGTGTTCGAGTTCCTTTACAAGATGTGTGACGTCATGACGGCCTACTTTGGCAAGATCAGTGAGGAGAACATCAAGAACAACTTTGTGCTCATCTACGAGCTCTTGGATGGTAGGAAACGATGATTGTGATGTTTGTGTGCAGAAGAAATGAGTATCTCCAAAATATAATGAGATTTATCAGAGGAATGGGCAGAGTCTGGAGCATGTAGAATCAAAGCCTGTCACATAGCAGGTATCAATAGGGATGGTAAAGCCTGAATTCTGGTTGTCTGTTCTTCATGGTTTAGAAGTGATGTGTATTAAAGTATTGTAGCAGTGACCAGGGAACCAGTCTGGTTTGAATGAGTCAGACTGTCAGAGGTTTCTCTCAGTCAGCCTTGGTTCCTGCCATTGCTACATGTCCTAGTTTTTCCTCTTACACAGCTTATCTCTTACACTTGTTTGTTCATACAGAGATTCTGGACTTTGGCTACCCCCAGAACTCAGAGACTGGTGCTCTGAAGACCTTCATCACCCAGCAGGGCATTAAGGGACAGGTCAGTGCAGACTCGGATTGAACAAGGAAATGCTGTTGGATTGACAGAGTGGAAAGAAGCAGCCAATTGAGACTTCTGTAAAACAAAAGTATGAATTAAAAATAAAATATCTGTACAAGTTAAGAACAACTGAAATATTGTCAAAATGTTGTGGATATTAAATGATGACATTCAATGAAATATCAAAATGAATAAAATAGAAAATTGTTCAGCCAAGTAAGACCGCTGGACATTCAGCATTATACGTTAGAAGCAGTCTTAAAAAGATGGGTCTTTAAAGCAACAATAAAAGTTTCATTTGAACTCACTGTCCTTAAATTGTTTGGATGCTTGTTCCAAAGCCCAGGAGCAGCACTGGCAAATCACCCATAATCACTAACCTAGAATCTGGCACCGCAATAGCAGGTGTAGAGTGCAGCTTTCAAGGTGCAGTATGATAAGAAACTAATCCGGTCAGATATGTGGGTGCTAGGCCTTGTGGCACTTTGAAAAAGGCCGCCAGTGCAATTGTCTTAAAAACAGTGTAATGTGTTCATGTGACTCGCAGCACCACCGTACAACCTGTAGGCCACCTTTAGCCGAAGTGCTGACTGTTTTTATTATGTAGGAAAATGTAAATACTGGATTCATAAATATTTAATTTTGACTCAGATTAGGAGAAAAAAAAAACTTCATTGGCATCTTTATATGTGTAAAATGTGTGCTGAACTAAATATTGCTTTGAAATTAAATCGTTTTACCGTCTTCCCCTCTTTTTTTTTTTTTTTTTTTTTTTTCCTTCCTTCCCCCCCCTTGGTGGATAATTCAGCACCAGGTAATTCATGTTACCCATGTGTGGAACAGTCGTATTTGATTTCCTATTTTGCTATAATGACAATGATCCCCTTTCATCACTGACCTTCTTTTGTTAGTCTATCAGTAGTGATGCAGTCTCTCTCCCTGTCTCCCAGACAAAAGAGGAGCAGTCTCAGATCACCAGCCAGGTGACAGGTCAGATCGGCTGGCGTCGAGAGGGCATCAAGTATCGCCGCAATGAGCTTTTCTTGGACGTACTGGAGAGCGTCAACCTGCTCATGTCACCACAAGGTTTGTTTGTATGGCTTCACCACACTGGGTGGTTGCTGCTGACATGAAGCAGTGACATTTTATTATTTAGAAAGCCTTCAGAGCAAACATTTCGTCTTGGGTCTAGTACTTCCACACCTTACAAACAATCCCAACCCCCCATCCAGGCCAGGTTCTGAGCGCCCACGTGTCAGGCCGAGTAGTGATGAAGAGTTACCTGAGTGGGATGCCGGAGTGTAAGTTCGGCATGAATGACAAGATCGTCATCGACAAGCAGGGCAAAGGAGGAGCGTCCGATGATCCAGGGAAGAGGTGAGTGACACGGCAAACTGAACTGATGCTGAAAATCATTAAGATAATCTGCATTTCAGTTTCTTTATTGTGACTGAAGTAATATAAAAGCAACAATCCTGAAAGCCCTGATGAGGAACCTCGAGTTTGGTTTTTGAGTTTTGTCTTGTTTAGTGCAAGGCAGGCGGTGTACTTAAATGTTCTTTCCCTTGGATGCATCTCTCCTTTCTTTCCCTCTCTTTCTATGTGCTGTACCTCAGTGATTTAGGGGGAGGAAGGTACTGTACTGACAAGTGTCCTCACCCTCTGCCACCTCAACCCACACACCCCCCCTCCGTCCTGTCTAAGCCCTTAAGCACATTAAGAATCTGTACATCTCATGCGCTGTTGCCCCCCCACACTTTCAACACAAATGCACCTTGTTAACACTTGAGTGTACTGCCTGGTGGTTGTTTCCCTCTTTTGGCATAATGGTTTATTTTATTACCTCCCACCTGCCTGACTTGTAACCCTTTACTCAAACATCTAACACAGACTGATTTGTTTAACTTAGGGCTGAACGATTTATGGTTTTCAAGTGCCATTAAAACATGGTTTTAAACTCGATAGATTCAAAACAATCTGAGCAGCATCCCTGCAGGCTTCAGGTGCACACACTCTGCCCTGCTCCGCAGGCTTCACGTGAAATGAGTGAGCGGAATAAGAAAGACGCACCAGTGAGTTTCACGTTGGTGCTGCTAGTGGCACTGAAATAGCCACACAGGTCAGCCAGAGACAACACTAGCATTTGTGTCAAAGCGAAACAGTAGGCTACATCAGTCCTCTGGTTTTAGACCCACGCTTGAACGTGCTGAACATGCCTGGCTAAGGTAGCGACAATGTGAGGCAACACCACAGATTTCTTCCAGCATTAAAAAAAAAACACAACACAGTTGCCACTTGTCACTTATAAAATGGGATCATCCGTTTTGATAAAATGTTGTTTGCATATTGAATCAATAAGTTGCACACACTCAGCCCCTATTGGATTAATACATTGTGCATTTTGTCATTTTTAATGCTTTAATTTATTGTCCAGAGTGGTGAGCGCATCGTAATAAGTAAAATTAAACCAGTTTAGAAAAGCAGTGAGATCAGAGGATACAGACAGGCTCCGCCATCTTTACGCATGTGCAGCTACACAGCCTGCTGGCTGTTCACCCCACCTCTGTCTCCCTCCACTAACTCTGTTCAGTCCAGCAAACCTGGCTACTGTTCATACCATTCTCATCATTAAACACTGAGGCGGCAGTGACTGCTGTCGACTCACTTTTTCATGAGCAATACAGTTTTTGAAAAAATGTAAAGGCATGGCAGAGAAAAGAAGTTGGAAAATATTAAATGCTTCAAATAGTTAAGTGCATCTAGCAGCATTAAGTGTGCAGACAAACAGGTTCAGGACCACAGCTCCCAGTGAGTCCAGTACAAACACCAGTCAGGCTTTAGCCTACAGCATAAGAGGAAGTCAGAACGTGATGTCATGTAATTTTCTGTTCCTGTTTCATCAGAATACTCAAAGTCTGTGATGTGCTCAGATCTGTAGAATTTTATGAATGACGACAAAAGAAATTGTGCCTGTTCTGTATTTACTGCTGCACTGACCAGTTTGAATTCTAACCTGTAGCTAAATAACTAGTCATAGTGGAAAAACAGAAATGCAATTTAATACAAAGTAAATTTAACAGCAGTAACCCCCAGCACCGCTAATGCATGTGATGATGTGTTGATAATACAGAACGGGGGGGGAAATCGCATATTGAATCAAAAGATTTCTAAAAAAAAAAAAAAAGATTCTTTCCCCAAATCGTTCAGCCCTAGTTTAATTGCAGAACAGTATCATTATAACCTCAATCGGGCTCATGCCTCGGTACTAGCAGTTGTTTGTTGTTTCTCTTTTTAAGGAGATTGATGATCACAATATTTATGAATCAACAAATGGACTAAGACTACCTTTTTCACCTCTGTGTGTGTCTGATGTTTTCTCTCGTGGCAGTGGGAAGCAGTCCATAGCCATCGATGACTGCACTTTCCACCAGTGCGTGCGCCTCAGCAAGTTTGACTCAGAGCGTAGCATCAGCTTCATTCCCCCTGATGGAGAGTATGAGCTCATGAGGTTAGAAATGTTTTAAAGCTTGAAGTTTAACCTCTCCAGTCAAGAGCAAATTACAGCTGAAACTAGGAAGCGGAGACTCTGATCATAATGAATATACATCCTTTTTTTCTGAGAAGTGAATGAGAAAGACGGGGATTAACACTGAAACACACCAGATGTTATGATTCATAACATGACTCGTACCTTTCCTCCTCCATGTAGGTACCGCACCACTAAAGACATCATTCTGCCGTTCCGAGTAATTCCTCTGGTCAGGGAGGTGGGCCGCACTAAACTGGAGGTCAAGGTGGTCATCAAGTCCAACTTCAAACCCTCGCTGCTGGCTCAAAAGATCGAGGTCTGTCTTGTGTGACTGGTGATTAATGTAAATGGCCGTAAGCAGTGGAGCGTCTTATGTGAATATGAGCATGTAGTTCAACATTAACGGCTGCACCTCCCTGCAGGTGCGTATCCCAACGCCGCTCAACACCAGCGGCGTGCAGGTGATTTGTATGAAGGGAAAAGCGAAGTACAAGGCCAGTGAGAATGCCATCGTCTGGAAGTGAGTAGTTGCTCTACCTGTATATTAATGAGAATTTTTGTTTTGTTTTTGTTTTTTGCTCCAAGTTGATTAAAAAGCCCTTTTGCTTTGCCTGCCCCTTCTTTCTCCTTGTGCGAGTTATAACATTAGGTTCCCTGTTGCTGAAACCTTTCTGATGCTTTGAAAGCTCATGGTTTGTGTGTGTGTGTCTGCAGGATCAAACGCATGGCTGGGATGAAGGAGTCTCAGATCAGTGCTGAGATTGAGCTGCTGCCCACCAATGATAAGAAGAAATGGGCCAGGCCTCCCATCTCTATGAACTTTGAGGTCAGGATACATGAATAGTTTAATAGGTCTCTGCTTTCTCATCAGTGACACACACACACACACACACACACATACACACACACAGACAGAGTCCTCTCACAGCTTGGCCTTTCGGCTATAGACCAAAATCAATTTTAATCTCCAAATGTGAGGCATGTAGTCTTGAGTGCATCATTTGATTGTGTTGTGCTGAGACATTGTGCATTGGACCGTTTTAAATCTACTGCACACATGTTGCGTAAGGTTTGTTGAATTTTTATATTAAGGACAAAATGTTTACAAGTTGGTTGCAACAGTGTTTCCTAAGTTTAACTGCTAACATTGTGTTTGCTGAATGCAAACTGAACAGACCTCTGCAACCAAACTGACCATAGATGAAAAGTGATCCCACGACAGCCTAACCTTTCTCCTCTCATCCCCACAGGTTCCTTTTGCGCCGTCTGGTCTGAAGGTGCGCTACTTGAAGGTGTTTGAGTCCAAGCTCAACTACAGTGACCATGACGTCATCAAATGGGTGCGTTACATCGGCCGCTCCGGCATCTACGAAACTCGCTGCTAAAGTTCAACCATGCCAGGCAGCGACCTGACCACTTCCCTCCCTTCTATCCTGTTAAGATTTCTTTTCTGCTTCCCCTTCCTACTTTGTCTCTCCCCTCAATTGCTATAGCTTCTCTCATACACCATCCTCCCCCACTTCCTAACTAGGTGTTGGAGACTGAATTTACATTGTTTAAAAAAAAAAACAAACAAAAAAGTAAATATGGTATAATGCACAGATATATGCAAAATGTGAACCATTGTATCGTATATATCTTGTAGTGATGAGTAAACAAACTGGTGTCCGGATGAGTAAGACAAGTGATGGGGGAGGGCACCAGGGGGAGAGGACAGGAGGCTCGCTCTGTTCTTTACTCAGTGTTAATGTTCTGCTACCTACTCTGTCACTTTAAAAGTCCCACATGTCTTAATTATCACTGGTAAGATGAGCTGTAGCTGTTTATAATAAATCCTGCTATAGTTCCTGTCTATGAACTTCTGTCTCAGTAGTCTGTCCTTCAAATTGACATGCACTGTCTGATTCTGTGTTGTGAACAGATGATATTTGATCTGCTTTTGTGGCAGTGGTCATTCAGATTGCAAATTCTTTCTTTGCCACTTAGCAGAGTAAAATTTTCCAATTACTAAGCCTCCTTTGGGTAGCTGGGAAAGTTCTTTTTGTACTTGATGAGCTAGTTTCTTTCCCTTGTTATCTTCCCACTGTTAACATAAACTAGCATTTTATGAGTCAAGTAAAACATGGGAACATTCCACAGTTCAGAGGTCTATCATCCTCTCCAGACAATTGACTCAGATGTCCTAATGTTTCTAAAGCACTAAGATCAACTTTGTTACACTACTGGGGGAGAGAGAGAGGGAGTGCGTGTGTGTTTTCAGTGAGGTGAGGTCTCCCTCTGGTGTTTTCCTCATCGCTGTCTGCTTCTTCATGTTTGTAGCCCTGGTAACCGTTCTGTCCAATAAAACTTGACTATGTAACCAACCTCTCCTACCCTGCTCTTGGTTTTCATTTGACTGCCACAGTATTGCATCAGTGTTTCCTCTTGGTGTTTGAACTCAGGTTGGGGTAGAGTGGGACGGAGTGGGACAGTAGATTTTTGGGTAAAGATTTTTGGCTTTTCGTGGCTTGACTTGGTCTATCATCCATTCATTTGACAAATATGACTCAAAACTTTTTTGTTGGTCACAGTTTTAAAGAAAACAAAGCTGAATTGAGAAGGACCTACAACAGGCGTCTTCAACTAATTGTGAGCCAGGGACCACAACTGACTACAAAGCAGCCTGAGGACCACTGTTGTATAGGGGATAGACTGGATGAGCAGTGTTTTCATCTTGAGTCACCTTGGCTTTTCTAACTTAGGTATTTGCATGAATTTCATTCATCAACTATAACAAGGGAATATTTAAAAAAAAAAAAAAGCGACACAGGGAAACCAAATTATGAATTGTATTGTCAAGGACCACCTACACTGCCTTCATTGACCACCAGGGGGCTGCAGGCCCACTGGTTGAAAATCCCTGGCCTAAATGGTCAAATTGATTGTGAAGGAATAAGTAAACTCCCAGATCCTAATTAACCATTATCACGCGAGTAAATGAACCCGGAACCCCCCCTCAGCAGAAAATGATTGGTCAAAGGTTTTGGCCAACATGTTTAATAAATTTCTTTTCTGTATATCCAGACAGTGAAACAAATAACCCCAAACATTAAAATAAAACATGATTAAAACAATGTTAACATTTACATTTGCATCTTAATAGTAGTAGCTGTTATTAGCTTGCCACTCAAGTCTTTGCCACCCTGAGCTCTAAACATGGGCATGCGTTTACAGAGAAAGTGAGGATTTGCACCAAAATCTAGGCAGGATTTCCTCATTAACCTCTAGAGTCCTGAGCTTTGGAAACCCAAGCTGTGCGGTCCTCATATGAGGACGCAGGGACTCTAGAGGTTATACTAGTATTGTACTTGTAAAAGGAAAAGAAAGACTTTGTAACCATGGGAATTGAGTTATTTCCCAATGTTAAAAAATGATTTCTGTTCACATTGACAAAGGCAGTCTTAGTGGCTGCAGAAAAACGTTGAGTTAAACCATAAGTGTTTTTGGGAAACATGCCTAGATTACATCAGTCCGATATCAGTTGACATTTACATTAGAGTCATTGAACAATATTGCATTACATCTTCAGATCACCTGTACTATTTCATTTTCAGTTATATAGGAGACGAAACACATGCTTTATCACCAGAGATGGAGGACACACCATGAGTCATGTTGCTTCAGTGCTGCAACAATGGCTCTGTTCAGAACAGAAAAATTGAAACAAATCAGTTCAGGAGAGAAGGAGGTAGCTACATAAATATTGATCTGGAGTTTCACGACCCTCTCACCCACCTATGTGACACAGCACTGTCAAGTCTATCAAAATACATCTAAACCAATGCAAATGATTCAGTTCACTTCAGTGGAACCCCTGTAGACTGCTGCATGATTTGGAAAACCCCCAGAGCCTTAAATGTGTGTGTATAATTTCCCAGGTATGTACACTACCAAAATGTGGAGACCTTATCATGAGAAAACAATTTTCTGCTCAAACTAACCAAATGCGAATTCTTAGATTAAATATTAGTTCTCAGAAGGAAATTTACTTTCCTTGCCCAGATGTACATTACAAAACAGAAAAAAATTATGTATATATTTAAGTCCATTCTTTCTCATGTTGATTCATTGTTCAGGCATGATTAAGATCATATTCTGTAAAGAAAAGGAAAGGAAAGATTAAACCTGCAAAAATAAGTATTTTGACATTGACATTTAAATGCATCATCCTTGCGATCGAGCCTTTCTCTGACGCAACATTGAAAAGCGTCCATTTCAAAATGAGTCTTCCAAAAACTGATTCTTGTCCCCTGACAAAAAAATATTTAAAAACGAATGTATTAATATAAGCAGTAACGTCAAGCTGAATCCAGATCGGTCAACAGATGGAGAGCGCTGACAGAAGACACTTGGAACATGCTAACACACTGGAGGAGATTGCACCCAAAACATCACATGCACAGCCACACACACGCACACAGCCGAAAAGCAATCAAACTTGACAAAAAGCTGCTGTGTAGTAAACACTTAACACCAATGTTCTCACATTCAGCTGTGTACTGCCCACACAAGCAGATTATTTAAACCTGCGCTGCTGTGATAAAGGTCCCACAGAAATATTTAACAGTCTCCAGGAGGTCTCAGCTCTGCTCTCCCACACCAAAACATTTGCTGTTCCAACAAATGATGAAAAACCCTGCGAGCCCTCCTGCTAAAACCAAGACCAGAAGAAAAACAAAATACTAAAATTACAGTGCCAACCTGGAGAATACACTGTAACACCTGCAAAATATCCCTAAGTGAGAGTGAGTGACTACTCAACACCAAAAGTGACTGAGATGGGTGAGACTAACTCACTTGATCAGTGGTGACTTGACTGACTGACCCTTACACAGGAACAAAAAGGACAAAACTGGCTGTTAAAAACAAGAGCAGTGGAGAAGCTGGTTGATAAGTGCTAAACTTCAAAGTAAAACAGAAAAAAAGGAGCCATAGCTCCATGAAATGACAGCTACTCAACAGCTTGGTCAACTGGTAACACTGACTGCAACCCAACAAAGCCAATGAGAATTCAAATGCACTCTAGTTTTCATCATCTTCGTCATCATCGTCGTCACTGATTAGGTAACTTCGAGTCCCGCTGTGGTGGGGTGGAGGCGAGGGTGACGGCGAGGTCTTGTTGAAGAAGGGAAGGCGGAAGGTGGGAGAGGGAGAGCGCTCCTCATGCGTGGGGCTGCTGCTGGGGCTGTGCCTGGGGCTGATCGCCTGCAGCATACGGCCTTTTCCTTCTTTCAGCATGTGCTTCTGTGGAGGGGAAACAACAGGACATCTCTTCTATCAGTTGTTTTTCTTTTTTTTTACATTTGATCAGCCTCTCTACATGTGGAGAGGCTGATCAAATGTATTGGGTCTGAAATGGTCTTATGCAACTGGAATGTAACTAATATGGTGGCATATAGAGGAAAGTAACAGCTGTGCCTCCGAATGTTATGTCACTGTGCTGAACGTTTTCCTATAAAACATCCTTCTCACTTCAGCACAGCACCCAGGCCATCAACAGTGTAAATAAGGAGGTGCTCTTAGTCATACTGCATGATTAAACAGTGATTAAAGGCCAAACAAAACCAACATCCTCACCAGAGCTCCTTCAGGGCCAAACATCTGCAGGAAGTTGCCAATGAACTCTCTGGACTTCTCCTCCCACTTCTGGATGAGGTCGATGCTCTTTTCTTCCACCTTCTGGACAAACTCCTTGCTCTTCTCCTCCACGTCACGCACCTTCCTCTTCACCTTGTCCACGCGCTCCTGCAGGTTGTACTTCTTCTCCTGAGAAGAGGATGGCAAAGTTGAGGGGAAGCCACGTGCTGACACACCTAACATCTGCCCTCATGCCACAACCTGTCACGCTGGCATCACTGTTCTCTTTCTAAACACCAACACTGCTGAACAATAGCTGAGTGTCTTACATTAATGAAGCTGACGTTGAGCTCCTTGGCTGTGTAGCCTCTCTGCAGGTTGCGTCTGACGTATACATCGTAGTCTCGGACAATGCGTGTGATGATGTCAGAAGTGGAGATGCCCTCTGTCCGCTGGGTGGGAGCAAACATACCTGTGGAGGATGGAAGGAGTCAGGTAGACATCAACAGTCACCAGATACAGATGAATGAAAAGGAAACACTATCAACCAGACAAGGACTCAGTACCATACATGCATTAGATGCAGTAGTGAACACTGAACTGTACCCTGTAATTCCTTGTGTACCACACTTTGTTGCTTTGGCACTCACCAGCTTCTTTAATGTGCTGGTACACATCATCACTACCCGCTGAGGAGTATGGGATGTCGTCATGGGCCACAAAGTCAATCTGGAGAAGTCATTACAACATACATCAACACAGTAGATTCAGCTCTATAAATTGTACAAAGACAAAAACAGCAGGGAGAATGTTAGAGTCAACTCACTCTCAGATTACTGTACGGAAAAACTGTCAAAAGTTGTTCTCTCAGCTACCGATTTCAATAAATCAACAGGCTGAATGTTTCAAATTACAGTTTTGTGTCTTTTAACTTTGGTTCCTCTCTGTTTCTTCCACTCACACGATGTTTGGCGAGAAACTCCGGCGTCAGTGTCCAGGGAGCGTTTCGCACCAATTCATCCACGTAGCGGCAATGTGTGACAGCGTCGTAGCGCTCGTCCTCATTCATCACTGTGAAGCCCTTGTACTTGTGGGTCAGGTCGTCACTGCACACTGCGAATGGTAAAAAAGCCCAACTGTTTATACTTCCTGTTTTTATGAAAAGGACCTGCCAGACGCTTTTCAATTTTAGCATTAGAATATTTGAGACCCTCCCTCACTGGGTGGGGCTATTAGTGGTGTTTTTTCTTTTGGTGGACAGTCTTGGTGTGGTTGGACAAGTGAGCGGGCCTGGCTGTCGGATGTGATCGCCTGCCAAGCCAGTTGGCCCAGCCACTGTTTAACCTGAGCAAATACTGTGTCAAGCCATTAAATATCTGCTCTTTGCTTGGATGAGGATAGGATTCAGGGATGTTGGGTTTTAAGGATAGGTTAGGGTTGGAAAATCATGTTACTTATAGAGTGCTATAGCAGTGAGTCCTAAAACCCAGAACCAAGTCAGCATTTTTGCACTTTCGATTCCCTCGCTCTGAAGTCGGTGGGTTTCTTGTAATGGGTTTTTGGTTAGATGCTTGAAATAAGGTCTGTGGCTAACACAAGGCCAAAACACTTTCATGTTTTGTTCTATGAAATAAAATACCAGATGATCAGATTTGTCCTTTGTCTTGATCATCTTCCTGTTTGTAGAGTTTCACACTTACAAAAGAAGCAGGTGATAGCAGTGTACTGCTGTGAAGACCTGTATGGACACACACACACACACACAAGCTTGTACTTACCTCCAACAATGAGGTGTGTATTAGGAAAGAGGCATTTAGCCTGCATGAGTGCTCTGGCGTGACCCGAGTGGAAAACATCAAAGATGCCATCTGCGTACACCCGCACCGGTCTGTCAGCTGGGCGGAGACACGCAGAGATGAAAGCTTTATTCTCTATAGAGTTCATCTAAAATTGTACTTTTTTCATATGGGAAACTGTATTTAAGACTGACAGGGAATTTACTGATATTAGGGAAGAAAAGGAGAAGGTGTATAAACAACACAAGAACATAGAGGAACATGAACAGTCTATGAGCCCAGACGGTATCAGACACACTGAGAAACTGGCACAGAAAGATATGTTGACTGAGAGATGGAAGGAATCTGACTCACGTGGAGTTCCCCTCTTGGCCTCCTCCATGCTGACTCTCACATAGGGTTTATCATCAGCTGGCTCCAGCTCATCTGCAAAAGGTGCAGGGTGCCTCAAACCCTAAAAGACCCAAACAGTAGAAAAAAAAAAAAAAAAAATCACCGCAGGTCAAGCAAGTCTTCTACTAATTCACACAAAAGTCACTGCTGTGCATCATACACAATCGTTTTCACTTTCTTAGTTGGAAAAAGTAGATTTATACCTCTAATTCTGTAACAATCTTTCCTGACCTCTTACAGATTAAAACTCTACTGCTTAGTACTCTTTGTGTTGAAATACAACTTAGCTGTCCTTGCAACATCAAGCAATTTCCACAGAATATGGAGAAGAAATGAAACCAGCATAAGTTTGACACATGATGCACACAATGGATAAACACTGATGCCAGAACACAAGCTTTTTAAAACCGGATATGTTCATTGTGCACACTGGAGAGTTTTAGTTTTTCACCCGTCTTTAAATAGTCATGGTAAATCGCAGCAGGCATGTATATAACCGCATGGAGTGGTACATGTGCACACAGGGAACCTGTGGAAAGTGCTGGTCAGTGAGCGCTAACTCACCACAGTACATCTGGGAATTTTCACAAGCCGCTCCCCCTCATCGGTCTCCCCATTGGAGCCCTCTCTTCTCCTCTTCCTGGACAGCAGCAGCTCACTGGAGCTTTGGGCCTCCATCTGTGTCAAAGGCCAAAAAAAGCAATTAAAACACACCACTCTTTTTTGCCATCTTCTAGCGGAAGATTCAGATACTCGGATTAACTGTATAATGTGCCTGCAGTCTGGATGTGACCTCTCTTACATAATATTATATAACACAAAGTACAGACAGGGTGGAAACCTAGGCAGCTGTGAGGTTATGGCAGATTACACATCCTGCATCAACTGTGACCCAGTAACAGAAAATAGAATAGCTCTCTCACTGACACACACATACGGCAAACGCAATTGGAAAACCTTTCAATATAAAACACTTTGTTCCACATACAGAACATTAACCCCATGCAGCCTCCACTTGAGCTTCCTGTTCTGCAGTTTTTTCCACATCAGGGCAAAGTTAACCTCATATTTGACACCTGCAGATCCAACCCTGCTTCACCAGAGTCAGCGGGTCACCACAAGTGGGCGTACATCCATATTAGACACCAACTGACTTTAGGACACTTTGTTGTGTACGTAACCTGCAGCTGGATGACTCTGCAGTGGCTGCACACACTGGTACATTTGGTACAAAGAGGGAACTTTAACATAAAACAAATTCTATTATCAAGTATATCAAAAACAAAACTTTACCATTTTTTTCAGTTTTTTAACATTTTATGTATAGGTTTTTCAAAAACCTTACAACCTAGGATAGCTGTACTTGATATCTTAAAGCAGGGCTACAAATAACTAATTATTTCTCTTGACTATATTAAACGTGACCAAAAATAAAGCCGCACAAGTCATTTAGGGGAAGGTTCATTATTTTTGACATGTCTAGCTTTTTCAATTCTTCATTTTACTATTAAGACATAACCCTTGGCTAGACTTATGCAGCAGCTCCCCTCCCCCAGAGACACCCAGCAGAGCTTCAACACTGACTAACAGAGAAGATTTATATGAACACTTGTCAACATATTTGGAGCCAACTGCTATAATAAGAAAGCAACAAAAGAACAGTGCCAAGTTTTTTTTTAAATGGTTAAAGTTTTCATTTCTTGTTGACTTAATCAAATATATGACATGTGACATATAAAAGTACTGTTTACAGTATGGATGCAAATAGTTGTTTTTAGCAGTAATGGACAAAAAAGATCCATCACTGTTGTCATCGTACATACATCAATACCCAGTTTGCCTCCTGATGCATCCAATTTTGGTCACTGGACCCAGAGTTGGAGTTTTTGCCTATTTTATTATGTCATTACATACATAACATAACGTTGCAAGCCCAGATATGCCAGAATTTACCACGAGTTTGCACAATACGCGTCCAGCTTGGACTAAACAGTAACTAAAACAACTGAGTTGGAGTTGTGCTGGTGACACTGGTTGTACAGTTCAACTGGTAAACAGGGGGTTCTTGGACGCTTTAGCCTCTAACAAAAATCCTTAAGAACAATATGCTAACTACCCCTTATAGTAGTGATAGCAAACGTCAGCTAGCTGCTTTACGCTTTTGCTCGCTTACCGTTCACTCTTTTTTGTCCGGAAACCTGTTTTCCTGGAGTGGGCGGCTTCCTATCCTGGTACTGCCAGCAGGCTAGCTAGCTAACTGCAAGAAACCTAGCTGGCGCTGCTAGCTACAATTGAATGCTAGCTAGCACGGCTTGTTGCGCTAACTTTACCCGTAGCTTAGGACAGCAGCAACAACAGTAAATACAAACTAGCGCTGTGCTGCTAGCGGAAAACAGCAACTACCCAAAGAGCAAACCACCTGTCAGTAGTAGCAACTTTTATTACAATGCTGACAGGTCAACAACACAGTACACCCAAACTTCGCTATCCTCAAAGAAATGACACGATTCAGACATTTCCGGCGTTCTTCTTCCTCCTCTTCTTATGGTATTTATTGGCGGTTGCAAGCCAACCTAAGGTGCATTACCGCTACCTGCTGGACTGGAGTGTGGATCAGAATGTCCCCTACCTACTATTATAACAAAATAACCTCACTCAGTTCACATTATATTGTCTTGTTTAACCCTGTACTCTAAGAAGTGGTCTGTACCCTATATTCCCTTAGCTTTTTTCAACATCTCTGTTGAAATAAAGTTCATTCCACAGCTTTGAACCCATAATAACATGTTCCACAGTTCCCTGTACCCTACACAACTCACATTCCCCTGTATTCATCAACTTCAGTGTACCTTTCAAACCAGTATGACCAAATCTCATTCTTGATATCATATCTTCTTTCTTCCTATTCCTAGGACCTCCTCTCATTTCTCTTACTATCCTTTGGATACTGTAATAGAACCGACCCTTGCCTTCTTTATCCCATAGTTCTTGCAATTTTTCTTTCATTTTACTCTTAATTAAACTTTTAATATCAACCTTAATTTACTGCTAGCTACACACATCTTTTTTTTAAGCACAGCTTTTGCAAATATATCTGCTAGTTAATTACCCTAGTTAATAGTTAGTTAATTACCCTGCTGCTAGTTAATTACCCTGCACCCCATGTGCAGGAATCCAAATTAACCCAATACCTAGTCAAACTATTGCCGTTACATGCAGAAATACGCCCCACTGACTCACAAATGCTAGTGTGACATTCATGAACGAGCAATTTCGTGTCCAGAACGCGTTAAGCGCACTCACATTTGCCCGGCTGTGACCGGAACGATACAAACGCGCATGTGCAGTGGGCCACACAACCCGAAAGCAAACCCACAATTTTATTTTATTTTACTTTATTTTATTTTATTTTATTTGTGAATGCATAGCTGTCATTGAGTTATTTCAGCTCTACAATTAATTACTAGCAGTGCTCCACTCAGCTTCCACCTGATTAGATGAGGTTGTCTTTCATTTTGTGAGCAACATAGTTTTAACATCTGAGTTTATGAAGCTCAAAATGTTTCACTTGGTGAAATTGTCATTCATTTATAAATTCAATTATATGTTTATTATTGAGGTCATATTTAAGGTCATATTTAAATGTGGTGTTGTACTGGACTACATTATATTCAGAGGTGTCTTTATTTTTGTCCTCCCCAGCTACATACATGAGAGGATCAGATTATTAGGATCACCTCTGAAAGGGAAGCATTTTGAGCTTCATAAACTCAGATGTTAAGTAGGAAGTGTGGCATTGAAGTGCATACAATTGTACAGGTGTATATGATAAAGTGGCCAGACAGTGTACACAACATGAGCTCAGCAATAAACATTCAAGAAAAAAATTGTGTGATTTGAGTTATAAGGGTCCAGTGAGCTTTATGTCTAGCAGCACCCCTGGTTCCCAGCAAATATCAGCTAGCATTTTATCTTGAAATGCCCATTCCTAATAATAATATTAATATTTATAACATCAGTGATAATAATCGCCTAATGATGGATATGCTATTGCTGTTAATATTTCTCTTATAAAGGATACAGATACTTAGGCTACTGCTGCCAATAAACAGCGGTTATTATAATTAAAATTGAATTAAATCCCTATGAAATGTTGAAAAATTTTGCAGGAAAATTCGGTGGAGTTATGACTACCTTCGAAATATGCTACCTTTAGTCAACTTCAGTGCAAATAAGCACAACTCGATAAGTAGCCAGTTGTTAGCGTAGTTCGACAGGACACCGCCAGGGAGCGGTAATATTCTACATTTGACATACCTTGTACGATCGCCGAGGAAGAAGACTGCTGCGGAGCGAAGTATCCTGTCTTCCAGCATCATCAGTCTCCAGCACCGTCGTTTCTTTTCAGACTTAAACGCGCACAAAACTGGATTTTGTTATTATTAGTCTACCTATATATACCTTCTGTCACAAGGTATTTTATTCTATATTCACGTGAGTTGATTTTTAAGCGTGTGTGGGGACAGCTGCAACCGAAGAACTCGGGCGTTGGTTTGCGGTGGGACAGTTATTGTCACAGTAGGCCTGCCGGGTGTCATGGAGATTAGCATGCTAGCACAGCTAGTTAGCTTATCTGTCTGTGCCGACACCATAGCCGTGCTAATAGATTTCATACATGTTTCACAAATCCTAGACTGACTAGCTAGCTCGAAAAACGTTATACACCGAAGGGTATTAATTAAAATGTAAAATCGAGGCTATAAGCTAAGTATTTATTTTATGGATAAAAATATAACTGAAGGATTCATAATTGCCTAGCGTATGACACATATTTAGTCTGGGCAATTTTGGAATACACCAGCACAGTTATTCTTGTTTAGCCGTGAAATTATGGAGCAAACAAAGAAAAGAACATTGTTATGAACAGCTGGCTTGCGTTCACATTCCCAGGGTGACAGGCCCAGGGCTGCCATGTAGCTAAACCTGACCACAAATCACCCAAAGCTCAACTTTCTTAACAACAGAACTACATATTTTGGTGTTGTGCAGAAGTGCAATACTAAGTACAGTGTTTACAGTATGTTTAAGGGTAGGGTAAGACTTTATTGATCCCACAATGGGGAAATTCTAGTGTTCAGCAGCATTAGAGAGCACACAACAAAACACCATAGGGACCTCCGAGACGCAAATCAAAGGTACCTAAAAAACAAGACAAAACGTAGCACTTGAGAGAAATCAAGAAGAATATTACTCCCACAGTTAATTCCACAATGGGTAGAAACCCTGTATATCAATAGCAATAAAGACTAAACAACAGACACCATAAGAACAGCAGACATCGCAAGGATCTATGAAAAACAAATCAAGAATACCCCAAAACAAGACAGTACAAGCATTTCAGAGAAATCAGGAACAAGATATCGCTCCCACAATCAGTCCAACAGACAGAGCAGTCTGTGGTCAGACAGTTTAAAAATGTCAAAGCAATCAAAGCTCCCAGATGTAGATAGAACAAGAGTTGGACAATAAAATGTAAAATATTATTGTGTAAAATACACATTATAATGTTCCATAGCCCAAGATAGGGTTTTCAAGTTCCTCCTTTTATCCAACCAACCATAGATTCCTTAATTCACTATCATACAAAGAAGAGGTAGCAAGATTTAAATCTTAACATTTAATAGGCTGAAACCAGAGAATGTTATTGTTAATGTTAATGTTTTATAACTTGAGAAATTATGCAAGAAGAAATTTGTTTTCAGGTTAGGTCTTCTCATTGCCTTTTTCCGGTTTTGTCTTCTGCCTGTAGTATGTCTGACAAGAGTGAGCTGAAGGCTGAGCTGGAGAGGAAGAAACAACGGATTGCCCAGATTCGAGAGGAGAAAAAGAGAAAAGAGGAGGAGAAAAAAAAGAAGGATGTATGTGGTAGAAACAGTCACTTAATTTCATTCTTAAGTGAAGAACCTGTCAAGCTGCCTGCCTTGATTTTTAACTTGACATTTTTCAGTTCTTGTGTATTATGATGTGTTTTCATACTGAGATTAAGTTGTTTATGTTCTGTACTCTGAAGGGAGACTCAAAGCGTGGAGGAGAGGCTAGCAGTGGCTCTGGTCATGAAGACTCGGACCTGGAGAGGAGGAGGAGGGAGGCAGAGGCGCTGCTGCAGAGTGTTGGCATCACCCCTGACATAACCCACGGTAAGCACACACACACTGCCAGCAGGTTCTGTTTTTATTTTTCTCCCTTTTAACTCCCATCATTTTCTGATTGTTTGCTTGATGGTTTTGCAGTGTTTTTAAATGTTGCCTCTAACATTGCAGTCTGGCTTGATGTCATTCACTTTGGTTTTTTCCCTCCCCTTCACACAATATCTGAGTATTTGAGATAACTGTTTTATGCATGACACCTGAAACCTGCCTGCCATTTATTTTCATTCTCTCTTCTCTCCCCTTTGTCCGGCCTCCTGTGTTTTGTCCTCCTTGCTGCATGGTAACTCATCCACTCACCCACTAACTCACTTATTCATACACTTCTTCCTTACCTCACTTCCTTCCTCCCTCACTCACCTCACTCCCTCATCTCACACACTTAAACACACGCACACACAGCTCAGCCCCTGAGGGTAGTAACAGAAGATACATGTCTGTTTCACTACCTAGTCCCTGCCCCCATGTCTCCTTCCAACAAATCAGTGGGCAGTGATGTAGGAAGTCAGGATTCTGCAGAAGGAAACGCAGGACCAAGGTTTGTCTGTATGTTTGTGTGCGACACAGAGAGAGAGAGAGATGAGGATGGATTCTTTGAGGTCATTTTTTACCTGAGTTGAGATTTTACCTGCATGCTAATTGTGTGTGTATTAACATTGTGATTATACTTGATGAGTTCTGACGTGTCTCCTCTTTGCCTCTTCACTGGCACGCTGATGTTTCTCAATTAACACGCACTCCGCTCTTCTTCTCTCCTTGTCTTTTCCATCTCTTATCTGGATCATCTATTGGCTGCCTTCTGTGTTTCGTTTCATCCTCGTTTTTCTCTTTTTGTCTGTCTGCCTGTCCTGTTGTTCTCTTACTAACACTGTCTGGTGGTGTGGCTCTATAAGGACATTGCATTGGGATCCTGACCCCTCTACTCTGCAACTCCACTCCGACTCTGAGCTGATGGGGTACTGCTCCTCCTCTCTCCTTTAGCTTGTCTTCCAGCTTTTATTAGTTTTTGTCGTTTCATCTTAGGTTTGTCCAAATGTGTTAATAATTTGTCTGTACATCATTATATATGTCTCTACATGTAGAGTTCTGCTTCATATTGCAGACCCGTGTCTGCGTGTGCTTACTTCCACTCTTGATATGTGTGTATAGACATGGATCTGTGAGGCTGGGCATGTCCAAAATGATTCAAGTGGACTTTATCCAGAAGGAACTGGTCTCCTACTCCAAAGAAACACAGACACCCACTGACGCACTGACACATAGTGAGCAAAAAGCAGGTAAACAAATGGAAACACAAAGACATGTTTCTGTTTCTCCAGAATTTTACCCTGGCTGGATTAAATGTGAATAACAACTAAATCAAATATTTGCGTGTTCAAGATGAGGACGAGGATGAGGAAATAACCGCCCCCCCTCCTGCAGACGATACCCAGGAGGAGAAGAATGACCAGGCTGAACAACAGGAGGAGGGTAAGGATGGAAGTTTGTAAAATATGAGCTGGCTGTTAATGACCTTGGTGTTCATTTGTGGATTCTGATAAGTGGGCCAGAACAACAGTCCTACCTAAGAGTATTAAAAACCACGGTGCTTTATTTTGGCACCTAATAAGCTTTAAACACATAAATCCAGTTCTGAACTGGACTTTCCAGATTGTATTTCCTTGTCTCAGCAGTACTTGAAACAGCACACCTTCAAATTTTACTACAGTAATACAGCAAATGGGAACTCTATCCAACATTGTTAGCTTTTCTTCTGTTCTGCTTTAAATATTGTACTGTCTGTGTACAGACACTCCCAAGGAGCTGACAGAGGAGGAGAAGCTGCAGGTCTTGCACTCTGAGGAGTTCTTGTCATTTTTTGAGCATTCAAGCAGAATTGTGGAGAGAGCTCTCGCTGAGCAGGTGGACGTCTGCTTCGACTACAGTGGCAGAGATCTAGAGGATAAGGAGGGGTGAGGCACATAAAGAAAACTTTGTATTAATGTTTAAAGATGTTAAATGACAGACAGGTGGATAAGCACATGGTCATTTCTTTTTCTGTTCCATTCAGTGACTTGCAGGCAGGTGCAAAGCTGGTTCTGAACAGACAGTTTGCAGATGACCGCTGGTCTAAAAACAGGGTGGTCTCTTGTCTCGACTGGTGTCCTCAGGTTGGATACGTTTGTTACGGCTCATCACAGAGGAATTAACCTTATTATGTGTCCAGTCGCTGTCAAATCAGACTACATTTGTGATTCTAAAATGATTGGTGCAGAGCCCCACTGCTTCTTTTCTGCTTCTAACAATGGCTACTGTGCTCCTCTCAGTATCCAGAGCTGCTGGTGGCCTCCTACACCAACAGCGAGGATGCTCCCCATGAGCCCGATGGAGTGGCACTGGTCTGGAACATGAAGTACAAGAAGGCCACACCTGAATACATCTTCCACTGCCAGGTAAGAGAAGAATTCTAAACCAGTGAAAAAAAGAAAGGCTACATCACCAAATCAATAGTTGTGAACTTGAGACCAAATATTAAGGCAGAAGCAGATGTAGTTAAATTGCGTTACTTTCCTTCCCTAGTCTGAAGTGATGTCAGTTGGGTTTGCAAAGTTTCACCCCAACCTGGTGGTGGGTGGGACATACTCCGGACAGATTGTCTTATGGGATAACAGGAGCAACAAGCGCACCCCTGTTCAGAGAACCCCCCTGTCTGCAGCTGCACACACAGTAATGCTTACACACACATTTACAGATATCTTAAAACTGTGATCAGTACAACAGTGTGTTGTCTGTGGTAGTTTTTCAGCCTGTTCTCTGTTGTGTTCAGCACCCAGTCTACTGTGTGAATGTGGTAGGAACTCAGAATGCTCACAACCTTATCAGCATTTCCACTGATGGCAAAATGTGCTCCTGGAGCCTCGACATGCTCTCACAGCCACAGGTATGCTGAACTTGTAGAGATGATTCCACAAAATGCTGTCGTACATAGAGCATCTGTTGGTTTGTCTGAGACTGATTGTATTCCCCGCAGGACAGTCTGGAGCTTGTGTTCAAACAGAGCAAGTCAGTGGCTGTCACCACCATGGCCTTTCCTCTGGGCGATGTGAATAACTTTGTGGTGGGGAGCGAGGACGGCTCTGTCTACACCGCTTGCCGCCATGGAAGGTGAGTGCTCTCTCACCTTTAACTTCTTGAGCAACAAGAAGGATAGATTTTTATTTTGTTTACAACCAGGATGTGAATGCAACACAATGATTTCTGAGAAATGCTGGAAATGTCTTAGAAGGAGTTGTTCATGGTCATCACAGTAATCTTTTGTGTGTTACAGTAAGGCGGGGATCACTGAAGTGTTTGAAGGACACCACGGCCCGGTGACTGGGCTGAGTTGTCACAGTGCTGCTGGACCTGTTGACTTCTCCCATCTCTTCATCTCCTCCTCTTTTGACTGGACCGTCAAACTCTGGAGCACCAAGGTGAGACATACACAAACCTGTATACTGTTAGATGAACCACTAGTTATTTTAACTTTTATCCGTTTCACCTAATGCGCTTCTTTACAGAGTACCCGTCCACTGTACTCTTTTGAGGATAGTTGTGACTACGTCTATGACACAATGTGGTCTCCAACACACCCTGCTCTGTTTGCTTGTGTGGACCTATCTGGACGTCTGGACCTGTGGAACCTAAACAATGATACTGAAGTATGCAGACACACTGCACAGAAACCCAAGACCTAATTTCACCCTTTAAAGGAGTTATTTGACCTCATTGGGAAAAACAAATATTCACTTTCTTTTTCAGAGATGGATGAAAAGATTAATAGCACTCATGTCTATAAATTTCAAGATACCCAAAGCAGCCAGTTAGCTTAGCACAAAGACTGAAAATAGGTGGAAACAGCTAGCTGCCTTTGTCGGAAGGTAACAAAATCCAGTTCTCAGCACCTCTAAAGCTCGCTAACACATTTGTTAATCTATAGAAAAACCAAAGTGTAAATATATACAGTGTATTGTAACAGTATCAGAGTGATATCAGTCTTTGCATTGAACCGTTGGCAAGAAAATGAATCAATGTACATCCCAAAATGTCATTTAAAGTTCAAATACATCATAGCATAGTTTTAAAGTTCTTTATTTTATTCCATGAGCTTTTCAAAAATACCGGGTTTTTTTTTTTTTTGGATGAGCATGAATGAACTTGGTTCTTTCTAAACTGATGTTTGATTTCTAGGTTCCCACTGCCACTGTGTGTGTGGAGGGGTCTCCTGCACTGAACTGTGTGAGATGGGCTCACACTGGAAAAGAGATTGCCATTGGGGATTCAGAGGGACACGTGTACGTCTATGATGTCGGGGAGGTGAGACATCATTCCTTCTTACTGTTAGATTGTTTTGGGTATTGTTGTGCATGGCTCAGTCACTAATAAACAAATTAAGTCAGTTTTCTCTCCATCTCCTTGTTTGACCTGCTGTTGGGTGTGTTGTCCCTCTGCAGCAAATCTGTGTGCCCAAGGCTGATGAGTGGACACGCTTCGTCAGGACACTGGCTGAGATCAACGAGAATCGAGATGAAGCTGAGGAACTGGCCGGCGTCTAATGTTACAGCTCTTTCTCAGTAAACTAAGCACCTACAGCACACTACATGACACGGTCAGAGGAGCTGTTCTCTCTTTGGCTTCCAGCTTTTCCACCTACTTCAAAATAAACTGGCCTGAGGAGATGTGCAGGGCTGGCATGGGCAGAAAAGCCCATTTTAGATGTGTATCTACAGTATTGTTCAAAATAATAGCAGTACAATGTGACTAACCAGAATAATCCAGGTTTTTAGTATATTTTTTATTGATACATGGCAAACAAGTTACCAGTAGGTGCAGTAGATTCTCAGAAAGCAAACAAGACCCAGCATTCATGATATGCACGCTCTTAAGGCTGTGCAATTGGGCAATTAGTTGAAAGGGGTGTGTTCAAAAAAATAGCAGTGTCTGCCGTTGACTGTACAAACACAAAACTATTTTGTACAAACGTTTTTGTTTCTAGGATTTAGCAATCCTGTGAATCACTAAACTAATATTTAGTTGTATGACCACAGTTTTTTATAACTGCTTCACATCTGTGTGGCATGGAGTCAACCAACTTGTGGCACCTTTCAGCTGTTATTCCACTCCATGATTCTTTAACAACATTCCACAATTCATTTACATTTCTTGGTTTTGCTTCAGAAACAGCATTTTTGATATCACCCCACAAGTTCTCGATTGGATTAAGGTCCGGGGATTGGGCTGGCCACTCCATAACATTAATTTTGTTGGTTTGGAACCAACACTTTGCTCGTTTACTAGTGTGTTTGGGGTCATTGTCTTGTTGAAACAACCATTTCAAGGGCATGTCCTCTTCAGCATAAGGCAACATGACCTCTTCAAGTATTTTGACATATGCAAACTGATCCATGATCCCTGGTATGCGATAAATAGGCCCAACACCATAGTAGGAGAAACATGCCCATATCATGATGCTTGCACCACCATGCTTCACTGTCTTCACTGTGTACTGTGGCTTGAATTCAGAGTTTGGGGGCCGTCTCACAAACTGTCTGTGGCCCTTGGACCCAAAAAGAACAATTTTACTCTCATCAGTCCACAAAATGTTCCTCCATTTCTCTTTAGGCCAGTTGATGTGTTCTTTGGCAAATTGTAACCTCTTCTGCACGTACCTTTTTTTTAACAGAGGGACTTTGCGGGGGATTCTTGAAAATAGATTAGCTTCACACAGACGTCTTCTAACTGTCACAGTACTTACAGGTAACTCCAGACTGTCTTTGATCATCCTGGAGCTGATCATTGGCTGGGCCTTTGCCATTCTGGTTATTCTTCGATCCATTTTGATCCCAATTGCACAGCCTTAAGAGCGTGCATATCATGAATGCTGGGTCTTGTTTGCTTTCTGAGAATCTACTGCACCTACTGGTAACTTGTTTGCCATGTAGCAATAAAAAATATACTAAAAACCTGGATTATTCTGGTTAGTCACATTGTACTGCTATTATTTTGAACAATACTGTAAATGTCGGAGAGTAATTTTGTAGGAGCAAAGAAGGTCACATGTAGTAGTTCAAGCGGTTAGAACTGCAGCAGAGATGCTGCTTTGGTAACATCCTCAGGGGTCCAGAAACTGCTCTTCTCCTGAGGCCTCAGTCAACTCAGCCCTATTTTAAATATGCAAACCTTTGTATTTGCACCTTTTTATCACTTTAGTGTTTTTTACACGTTTTAATATTTTCCAGACACCTGTGCACATTGTTGGCCAAGTGTTTCAACCGGCACAAGGCTGACATGTCAGTTTGCTCTTTATCCTCATCAGCAGTTAAATGCCTCTGCACAAGTGTGTCATTCTTAAAGTTTAGCCACTATATTTAATATTTATTTCATGTGTTGCAATTATTTAAATATTGTGTATTGTTGAAAAATGCTGCTTTGTACTAAAAGTTGGAGTTGTATATTCCAAAAATTAGCTCAAGCTTTTTACCAGGCAAAATCTGTTAGTATACTTACCTTGAATTTATGGACACTAGTACAGTTAAAAGGTGATTTTTTTTTTTTTTTTTTATGTACCAGGAGTTGTTTTATATTCTGTATCTGTGTAACGAGTAGTTTGTTTCCTGACTTGTCCACTGAGGCTGGTGAAAGTTTTAACCACAGAATTTTCATTCTCAATTGTCTTTGCATTCCAGCGACGCATTCCGTCCATAACTTAGCGGTCCAACCTAACCTGGGTGGTGCAGCTTTCAGCTTCATTCTCTTGAAATGAGCTAAAAACGCAGTTGCAAGCATATTGGATATAACCTGACCAAAACGTCAGTATTCTACATAGACTAGTTGAAATCTATTCTTCCCTGTTACTGTTCTTAATACAGTCAACTGTTGCACTTTTGCTTTGGAATAAAACAAAGTTATTGGTAAAATTGAAACCATATGGATGATTTATTTCAATAAAATACAATGAAGAGGTACATTTAATTTATTAATACCTAATTCTCTGCTGCTGATTCTTGTTTTATCAAGAAAACACTTCATTGAAATGTTCTGTACATCAGTACAAGGGCTTCTCAGAGAGCAGGACCGAAGGCCTCACATTGCCATAAATCACTGACTGAATGTCTTGTAACATTTTCTTTACTGCAGTATGTACAGGATGAGGCCTTGCATGTGAGGACCGATCAAGAGTGAAGACACACTGTGCTTACAAGTAAATATTTTCTATGCCCACTGTCCATTAACGGAAGTCCTACTCGGATTGAGTGTTGACAGAAAACAGAAAAAATAAATCACATCATGTACTTGAAAGAGAGAGAGGAGTGCCCAAGGCTCAGTTTTATACAAATGCTGGAAAGAAGAACACAAAAGATGGAGTTGCCAGGAGTGTACAGCCACTGAAGATACAACACAGTCGGCAGCGCTGTCTGCTGTTAGATCCACAGCTGCACCTGGCTCTCCACCTCTATGGTCAGGGACCAGTGAGCACCCCTTCACCCTGGACAAAGTAACGGGTTGGCACTGTTTGTTCTTAATGCCCCCTTTTTGTGCATGAACTGTGTGTGTGTGTGTATCTAAGTGTCTGGTTCCTAATAGAGGAGGAGCTGAAGATGCCGACCTCTATGGGGCCTGAGCCGGCGTGGCGGGCTCTCTGTGATGTATGGAAACCACACCAGAAGACTTGAATTTGGGAAGATGGAGGCCAAATTTGTTTTCCACTCCAGCAAAGGTAGCTGCAGCCAGGCGGTAGCCTCCAATGTGGTCCGCATTGATGGGAGGAAGCTCAGAGATGCGAGACTTGGGTGTGGGTTCTGATCCTGCTGGACGACTGCAAAGAGAAAGACAAGAGTGATCGTTCCTCAACCTAATGACATTTTTGATATAGAGAGGGGAAAATGCCTTTCATATTTACACTTGAGTCCTTTCAGTTTACTGTGACATAGCCAGGATGATTTCGGATAGGTCAGTAGTGAATCCAGATGCATGGCAAACCATTAAGGCACATTTCATGACACTGCTGCTGTTTATCCAATTATTAGGTCTTAATTGATAAACCCTAGATATGAGCGGCAGAGTGATACAGGTATGACAACAGGTCTTACCAGCAATATTTTTAAACAATGTGAAATGAAATAAAATGGCAAGAGCCATCAAGAGACACCTGAAGAGTTGTATTTCCTCTTTCTCTAAAGCCAAGTGTTCTGTATTTCCACACTGGCCTCCCTGTCTCAACTGTCTTAAGTTAGTAAAAAAAAACAAAAAACAAACCCAACTTTTAACCAAAAGACTGAACTTACTGTCCTCCAAAGTCAACGTAGAACCACCGCTGTAGAAGCTCGTAAGTCACCAGTGTCACACCAAACTGAGGAGAAGACCGGCACATACGAGCTGGAGAAAAGGGAGACATGCAATTCAGTGTGGTTTTAGTGCAACAACAACCGGAGCCACACTGTGTATGCATGCAGGAGTACACAGACACACACCTCCAGCTCCCTTCCACAAAGCCCTGAACCCCTCCTCTCTCAAAATCTTCCAGAAGCAATCGATCACTCCTGAGTAAGTGGTCTGTCCTGCTCTCGCTGCCACTTGCAGACGTGTCTTGATAACATCAGCAGGCGTCACCAGAGAGGCCGCAGGAATACCTGGGAAACAGTCGTACAGATGTCAGGCGTGATGCTGTTAGGTCAAACTTGTGTAAAGCGTGGTCTCTGTGACTGGGAAAGAAACAAGTCTGTAATCATAACCAGTAGCTTGTTTATTAGCATGCCTTTATTTTTCTTGATTGGCACGCATCTCTCATTCAGTACTTCAAATACTTCAAATACAGGGGATTCGTTGGATCGTGTTATGAATAAGTGCTGACTGACTGATTCTGCTGTTCATCGTCATAATCTGAGGATACCTGCAATTGCTCCAGCTGTGAGAAGCTGCAGAGGTCCCAACCTGCCATGCTCATCAGCAAAGCAGGTCTTGGTGTGGGCATACACAGGGAAATAGATGCCTGAGAAGGGGATGTCTCTCAGGAAGCAAGCTTTAGCACCCTAGATACACAAAGAACAGTCAGATGTATGAGACTGTGTGCTCGAGAGCAGACTCAAAGAGTGAGGCAAAGAGAGAGGGTGCCAATGAATTAAATGGGAGACTGTTTAATACACCTTACCTTGTAGAGGCCGAAGAAGCCCAGGTCACGGACCACGCTGAGCGCGCTGACTCGAGGTCCAGTGGTGATCTCACCTGCCACCTGCAGGCGAATCTTCACAATCTCCAGAGGGTTGGTAAAGATCACCTGAGAGGCTCCAGCCTGGATAAACAAGGAGAAGAACAACTTTTCACACACTTCTTAAACAAAGAAATCACTGCCTCTGCATCTCGCATGAACACAGCTGAGGGGTAGGAAATTACTAATAACTCTGCAGACAAGTTAGTACAACAAATACAGCAGACAGACTGCATGCACAAGTTACTTTTTGTGGCCTTAGCAACCAGGAAGGAACACATCCTTGAGTAGCTGACTGTGCGTTTTCTTATCTGGTATTTACCTATACATCCATAACAGATAGGATGGATATTAAAAGTATTTGGACCCAGTACTTACACAGCTACCAGCCAGAATCTCAGCAAATAAAGGAATTGTGTCGTCTTTCTCAGTGAACTTGTCTCTTACAAAGTCATTCACCTGTGGGACAGAAACACGTAAGCTTGGGGATAAAGACAACCCATCAGTTCGTCCAGTAATTTTTAATTTGACATTGTTTTAAGCTTATGGCATTGCTGTATTTTAACATCTGAGAATCCATTTTCCAACATGCAGCCATCCACCAATGCAACAAGTGTGTATGCAAAGTGAATATGAAGTGGAGGAGGAGTATGCTTTGTGTACGTGCACAAAGAGACTTACTGTGAGTTTAATAGCCTTCTCAGGTGCCACACCTATAAGCTGAGGAACCAGACCTGTGGGGCATCATGGGGGATTGAGTGAGACACTCATTTCATTAGTAATACTGGGCAAACAGGAGCAAGAGACGGGAAACCAAAAGGAGGTAAGAAAGTTAAAAATAAGACATGAAGTCAAGAACCTGGAGGTGGAGACCGACAGAGATGGACAGAGCTTTCACTAATGACGTGAAAGATGAGAACACGGACGCACACACAATAGTGGAACACAAAAGGGGTTTCTTGTTGGATGCAACACAGCCCAAAACGAAGAGAAATTAGAAAAGTGAAAGGTGCATGCTACTAGGACCAAAATATATGACTGGGTCGGTTCTCGGGTTTTCTGTTTTTGGTATTTGAATATTTGAAACAGCAGGAAATTTCAATGCTGATGCAGCCTGAGTCCGAAGATGAAGAAGAGAGACGACACAATGGAGACAGCTTGGGCCGCTGGTACTCGCATCTCTGAAAACGTTGGAGCAAACTCCCAAACAGGCATTACTCAAGACTGACCAGATATTCTAAATCTAAATGGTGACTTTCTTGCCTGAAAAATATCAAAACTTAAGTGGCGTAAGACCAATGCTGGAAGGAAAGTCACAGATTCAACTGTGAGACGGAGACAGTTTACAAAGCGCAACACCGTAGAGCGGTATTACAAAAATATTCAACAGCTTCATGCTTAGACACATTTTTTCTAAATTGTGTTGTGGTATAACCAGCAGGAGACCAGTGATGTGTGACCGGATTATGGTGACGCTACTTAAAAGAGTGAATATTTCTGTACTCTTTGTCTGGGGTTGCACTTTGTAAACACTCCCTGAGCGCTTGTTCATCGCTGGAGGTTTGAATGAGCGAAGCCCCGAGGAATGTAGTGATAACGTTCTCCATGTCTGAATAACAGAACGGCACCACTTTAACAGATCGCAGCCGAGAACGGAGACGGAAGCGTTCACCTCTGTAGAAGCCAAAGAAGCCCTCGTAGCGAAGCACCTTCTTAGCGCAGTCAAAGCTGTTCTTGTACATCAGCTCTCCCACAAAGGATCCCGTGGACCTCTGGTTCTGCATACGAGTCTTCACCAAGTCGATGGGGTACACTGCTGTAGCTCCAACAGCTAAGCAAACACACATTCTAATTAAATACTGCCCATCACAATAAAATCTAACAGATGCAGCTGTGGGTCCATGAGACAGCAATCTGTCCCGGGCCACAGGATAACTTACCTCCAGCAATGGAGCCCAGGGTAAACCTGTAGGCTGACTCTGCAACTTGAAGCCACACAGGCCTGGAACCGTCCCCATGAGCCTGATTGGAAAAAAGAACATGAGAGACCATGATACATTTATGTAGCTTATGTCTCTGTAAATAGCTGATGACTATACTGTGCAATACCCTTCAGAGTGTCAAAGACGACACCTATTTATGAATAAGGATTTCTACCTGTTTTTGGCTTTCAACCAGGTGGTAGGGCAGAGACCCCTCCTCTAACGGAGATATCCGCTCGATGTCAGAGAGATTCAGGCGCCTGATAAGCAGATGTAATTTTAATAATATCACTGTCATTAACTAATTATCAATAAAGTACAGGTATTTAAAATGAATTCAGGGATTTGGGCCTGACAGCATCTAGCACAGACTTCAACTGAAAGTCGGGGAGAGTGTTTACCCAGAGGGGGAGTGCAGGCCTGATAAGTGGTACAGGATGTCAATTTCCATGGGAGTGATCTGACCAAACTTGTTAGCAGCATGAACAAACTCTTCTGCAGAGAGAGATGAGATAGAATTAAACTTTTATAACAACACAGACGTTCCTGACTAGGGTTGCAGCGGTATCTCAGTTTCATGGTGTACCATGGTATGAAAACTGATGATTATCACACCATGCACATTTGCTTATTACCAGTACTGAAGTGAAAAAGAAAAAAAAAAATCCAATGTGTGCACACTTCCTTTCCTCCCTGACTGCCTATCAGACTCTACCACTGGTGCCACATGTACATATACAGCGGAGAAAACGGCAGAGAGAAGCGAGGCTGACATCACAAACCTCCATCCAAATGCACTATTGAAATAATTTTCCACATCCCGGCTCCTGGCTAAATCTGCGTGTTTGTCCGTTCGCTAACCTCTGACATAAACAGACACACTAATCCTGATGTGACCCCATAAAACACCACACACTCAGACTTCCCTGGCTCCAGGGGCCGACACAGGCTGTGTGTGTGTGTGCAAGTGAAGGTACAGCCAGGATTGGTCTTGCTGCACGGTTGGACACCTACAGTAAATTGGCATCTGTTCTGATAACTGCTTAGAACTTTGTGATGGGATTTCTCACTAAAGCAAAGATACAACATCACAGCACTGTCTCCATCTGTGCACCTTTGGTCACGAGCGTGTCGTTCCGCTTGCCAGCCAGTGTGCTGTAGATCTTGCGGATCAGCTCCATGTTGTTCAGGAGGGAGTTGAAGGCATTGAAGTAAGAGAAGCTGACCATGTGAGAGGTGCCGCCCCCTGCAGCCTGGAAGAGGGAAGGCAGAGCCAAGTTTCATTTGTAGTCAGGTACTGCATTGACTACAAATAAGATTTTGGTAATTTATGTTAAACTCTTAATGAGAAAGCCATTATTTACAGTTGAAAATATTCTTCAGTAGTTCCTTGTGTAAACTTAAACTGCTCTATTTGTTTTTCTTTACTTATCTTAAGGGCCAAGCGGTACATTTAATGTGCCTGTCATATCAAAATATCAGTTTAGTTCTTCTTCAAAAGAAATCTATTGTACACAAAATCAGTTCCTACAGACCAAATCTTAGCAGGATCTTTGCCTTTATGTGACAGGAATCTGAGGTAGACCAGGAGGAGACTTCAGCGTTAACTGCCAAGGTTTGCCCCCTCAATAAATGTCAGATTATAGTGGGAATGTATAAAACACCAATCATTAGAGAACACTGAAGAGCCTGGGCAGAGATTCAAATCTTATTAAAACTAGAAACGCATCAAGCTGAACAAAACCAGCCCTTTAAGGTGAATAATCCCAGATGCAAAGTGGATGAAGATGCACCTCTGCTGAGTGTCACATTGCTCTAACATGTTGCTGTTGTCACAGGTCAGTGGATTATACGTCTATTTTCCTGTGACCAAAACATAAGTATGTTTTTCATATTTGTGAGCGAAGGATTATTAACATATGCGAAGTAACATATGTTGGTACTTCCAAAAGTGGGAGGTGACGCAGCCTAGAAAAGAGTGAAATGAGAACAGCCAGGGCTGAGGAAATGTGAGAACAACACTCATCCTCCTGTCAGTCAGCCATGAATATTCTCTGTGGCCATAGTTTCAAATGATACAAATCACTATGCCATCACTATGCTCTCCATGCGCGCACACACACACACACACACACTCACACACTCACTGAAACAAGGTTCTCCTCCACAAAAGGTGTGAGCATGTGGTGTCTGATGGTGGCCATAATATCACTGAAGTCCAAGGCCGAGATGACACCATTCTTCTCTTTGTCCTTCTGGGCAAACGCCTGGCGTGCATGCTCCAACTGCAGCTCCTAAAACAGCACAACATGACAAGGCTGAGTGTAAATATAGCCCAAGTGAACCTGTGTGTGTGCGTGTTGGTGATAGAAACAACTCAGACTGATTAGTGTGTGCACGAGATCAGTATACCTGTAGGAACTGGGTGAACTCAAGGTAGTTGAGGTGTTTCTTGCGGTCGCGCCCAAAGTGCAGATAGATGAAGTCACAGTCCCAGTTGAAAGGAATGTGGTGGTGCACTGTGGTCTGGCTGAAGATGTCTTGCACATTCTCTGCAGCACAAACAATATTAAAAAAGAGTCAGTCAATTTACAAGACAAATTTCATAAACAATAGCTAAGCCATTTCAATCCATCCATACATCTTCATCCGAGACCGGGTCACAGGGGCAATAGTCTGAGCAGAGCCTCCCAGACTTCCCTCTCCCCACACACCTCCTCTAGCTCCTCAGGAGGAACCCCAAGGCGTTCCCAAGCCAGCCGGGACAACGTGTCCTGAGTCTGCCCCGAGGCCTTCTCCTGGAGGGACATGCCTGGAATACGTCCCCAGGGAGGTGTCCAGTGGGCATCCTAAACAGGTGCCCAAGCCACCTCAACTGGTTCCGCTCAACGTGGAGGAGCAGCAGCTCTACTCTGAGCTCCTCACCGTGCACCCTATCCCTAAGGGTGCGCCCAGCCACTCTCCGGAGGAAACTCATTTCTGCCGCTTGTATCCGCAATCTCATTCTTTCGGTCATGATCCAAAGTTCATGGCCATAGGTGAGGGTAGGAATGTAGATTGACTGGTAAATTGAGAGCTTCACCTTACGACTCAGCTCCTCCTTCACCACAACGGACCAGTACAGAGACCGCATTACTGTGGATGCTACACCGATCCATCTGTCAACCTGGCACTCCATTTTTCCCCACCTCTATAATGAGGAGACAAGAGAGAGAGAAATGGGGCTAACATTTGTGGAATGAGATTGAGAGTGAGCAAGAAAGACAGAGAAGTGCACAAAAAAAGCAAGTTACCTTTTTCCGATTGAGAACCAAGGCCTCGGATTTGGAGGTGCCAATTCTCATCTCCGCCGCTTCACACTCGGCTGCACACCCCTCCCGTGCACGCTGTAGTGAACTGCTGAAGCCAACAGAACCACATCATCTGCAAAGAGCAGAGACGAGATTCTGCGGCCACCAAAACAGACACCCTCCGTTCCCTGGCTACGCCTAGAAATTCTGTCCATAAAAATAATGAACAGAATCGGTAACAAAGGGCAGCACACACCGGAAACAGGTCTGACTTACTGCCGGCAATGCGAACCAAGCTTGTACTCCAGTCATACAGGGAACAGACAGCCCATAACAATGAGCCCCGCACCCCATAATCCCAAAGTACCTCCCACAGGATGCCACGAGGGGCACAGTCAAATGCCTTCTCCAGATCCACAAAACACATATAGACTGGTTGGACAAACTCCCATGAACCCTCCAACACCCTAGTGAGAGTATAGAGCTGGCCCAGTGTTCCATGGCTGGGGCGAAAACCGCATTGTTCCTCCTGAATCCGTGGTTCGACTAACAGCCTTATTCTCCTCTCCAGTACCCTTTTTCAGTCAAACAACATAAAGCTGTTTGTATGTGTGTGACATAAGGTAAGTACACACACAATGCATGAGAGCAATTATCTAAGCCCATCCATGTGTAATGGCCAAGGAATAATCTGGTTAACAATGTCACATCAGGAAACTTTTTCTCCGCAATGCACCACAGGAAAACGTAAACTGCTCAGATGATGCTCAAATTCATCAAGAACTAAAGGATTTCCTCCAAAACGTTTTTCCTGAAAATGTTCTATGCAGTGTTTTACATTTTATTAACTTTTTTTAAATTCAGTGAAGTCATGTCTACTGAATTCAAAGCTCATGCAAAAACAAGGAAAACACAACAGCACCGTACCGAAGGAGACGTCCCCAGTTCCAGTCTTATCAAACAGCTGGAAGGCTACGATGAAGAGAGCGTCTGGTGCACACAACACCGACTCGAAAGCGAGGAACTCTGGGAATGAGATCAGCCTGCCATTGTGGGTGTTCATGGAGCAGAAACAAACAAATACACAAACATTTTAGAATCTGTATTTCATAAAAGGATCAATTCACTAAAGTCACACTAGCAACAATCCTTTTCTCTGTTTCCTTTTATCAATCCTAAGACAATAAAAAGCTTTCTGAACAGATCCAAACACTCCAGTCACATGGTTAGATCATGTGTGTGTGTAATCTGTGTGTGTAATCCGATGGCTGGGTCAATGGGAGTCTAATTTTATCCGTAAGTGGACATAATGGTAGGTACTGATCAGATATGGCTCAATAAACTGTCAGTTAGTGGTGATAAGCTGTGACCATGTGTGTGTCTACGCACACTGTTTCTGTCGGTACGTACCCGTCCTTGGTGGTGTCAGCCACAGCAGCGACGAGTTGTATAGTTTTGGGGTTGTGGTGGATCTGTGTTTGCAGGCCTAGATACCTCTGGACAAAGTCTCCTGGGGTCATGAACCTCTCTCCATCCTTGTCCACTACACTAGCATACTGCAGGGAGGAACAGAAAACTACATAAGTGTTAAAACCGAATGCCTCACTGTTACCAACTTCTCTTCTGTTAACCCTAAATTAACTAAACCAACAGTGACTTTAACAATTTAAATACAACTAGTGTTCCTAGTATTAGTATTCCTAACACGCAGACACAAAGAACCAGGTGATTTATCCACTTGACAGAGCACACAGTGCTTGGGCAACTCCAGTTATCTCTAACTTATTTGCAACATTTACACAACCACGTTAACTCAACAATATTAAAATGTGAAAATCATAAAACATTATACTTACTACACTACACTGATACCTCCTTTCAGTGCTAATTATTAAGAACAGTTCTGAAATTTAATGGTAAAGATAGGATTATTTTGAGGACAGTGACTCAAAAAAAACATCACCTGGTCTTTAACTTAACTCTGCTGGTGATTCAGGCTTCACCTGAACAACCAAGGTCATCAATTTTACAGTTGTGGCAAGACGTCAGAATTACACTGAACAAACAGACATCAGCGCCCTCATGTTTCTGGCTTGAGCTTATAAGTTATTTGATCTATGTGTACAGACAACTACTGACCAGCACGACTATAACACAGTGGGTCAGACTCACTATATAGAAGACAGGTGAGGAAGGTTAAGGTAAAGCAGGTCACTTATGACATCTCACCGTCAGGCACAGACTGACTCAAAACGGTTTTTAGATGTAACATGAGAACAGTGCGAGTGACACAGCGTTCTGTGATCCATTCAGTACATGAACATGCAGGTCCTTACTTGTAGTGTAGTGAAGACAGTGCAGTTAAACTGGGACTTTAACCCTTTACCTTCACATTAAAAGTCTGATGCTCATACTGATAGATCGACTCAGGCTCTGAATGCCAACACTGTAAATGAACTGTATAGGACTTTTCTATGCATTTAGGCGCACTCAAAGTGCTTTCACACTCTTCGTCCATTTGCACTCACAAACACTTGCACACTGGTGGACAGTGTCTGGGATCAACTTGGGGTTCAGCGTCTTGCTCAAAGACACGTGGACTATAGAAGCCAGGAATCAAACCACCAACCCTCCGGTTAGGTGACAACCCGCTCCACATCCCATCATTATTCTCAAAGCAGAATGATGTTAAACACTTCTCTTTCAGTACTGAACCAGAACAATCACTCCATTCTCAGTAGCTGTGTTGGACCATTGACTGTGGATAATGCTGCAATTTAAACCCCATGACACAACCTTACAAGCTCATTTACCAGAATAAAAACAGGCTGGAGTGAGGTGTTTGCTACACACAGGCCTGTCTCAAACACATCTGTAATGACAGGCAAACATATTAATTGACACATCCTTAAGATGTGAGAATGGCTTTGTCAAGATGAAGTCTGTGCACACCTTACCTTCTGGAAAATTACTTTAAGCTCACTGGGGTCCCCACGTTTGGTAGATTGCACCTAGAACAATTCACAATAAATTAACATTGACATGTTTCACAGTTACAAAAAAGCTGCTGATTAAATAAAGTTTTTGTGCTGCGCACTAGACATAACACGAAGCAGAAGAAGCGAGCTGCTTTGGGTTAATGTCAAACAGCTGTGAAGGAGAAACAACCGCTGCGACAGGAACAGCACACAATCAGAGAGAACCGAGTAACGCTAACTTGCCTCCTGGCATATAATCAAGTTAGGAAACAAACTTAACAAGCAGCCAAATCTCAACACAAGACCAACTAATGTTACAGCTGTGTAGCCAGCTAGCAAGCATATGGGGAGGACACAACCCGTAGCGGTGACAGGTTAAGCTTTACATCGGCAAAATGCGAGAAGACGAGAGCAAACCGACAAGAGTGAACTGTTCTGAAAACCGGGGTTAGTAAGTCGATGTAGTTTTTAGTAGACCGATAGCTGTTTAGCATTATCTCGCTAACTTCGAGGTTGTAGATGTCTCATCAAGGCCAGCACCGCAGGGCGGCAGCTAGCCCAGTAATGCTACAGCCTCTCAGTACGCAACATCCGTGACACCCTGCCCGGACCGCTCCGCAAAGTCTAGCTTTGACCATTCCTAGAGTAGAAAATTAACAGCAAACATGTTCGTATGATAAAGTAGAGTTTTGAAAATCGCTAAGAAAGCGATGCTGAAGTCACCTTGACCGCCATGCTCGCGTGACGTCACGTAGAGTAACGAGGCGTAAGGCGACCAGAGTACGTCCTCAGACGGTACAAACTAGTGATGTGAAAATGAAAACTATACCGCCTTTCAGTAAAACATGGACCACCATAAGACCAGCAAAAGAGAGAGTAAATATCAGAGGTTTTATTTTGAGGGAGGAACTGTATCACGTACCCGTGAGCATACACACCCCGACTCGGATCTGCTTTGGTGTAAATTTACAGATTCACAGATAATTTCGAATAAAACGTGCGACTTCTTGGTTGTGTCGTCTTGTTGCTCGACGTGGGGTAGATGGAAGGCGGTCAAAACAACGGGAAAATCCAACCTGGAGCAGGAACAAATTAAAGGAACATAGCGTGGATTTAGTTGACATAAGCTACAGTAGCAGTGGTGGAAGAAGAAGAGTAAACTCAAATTGTTTACTTAGGCTAAAAGTAGCAATACCACAGTGTAAAATCATCTTTTACAAGCAGAGGTCTTACATTCAAAATGCTAGTTAAGTAAGAACTTTTAAAAATTCTTAAGGTACCAAAAGTAAAAGTCTAAAAGCCTACGTTTTTTAATTAATCTGATTCTGAAAAGTAACAAGTCATTAAAGTTATCAAATAAATGTGAAGATTATAGTATTTGCCTCTTAAATGTAAGTCAAAGTATGAAGTAGCAGAAGCTGAAAATACTGAAGTACACATACCTCAAAATTATACTTTTGTATAGTATTTGAGTGAACATAGTAACTTAGGTACTTTCCACCACTGAAAAGTCACCTTTGGAGAACAAATAGGTGGGCTGGAACAAAATTGTTGTATGCAATCATTAATGTGAAAAGGCATTGTTCCTGGAAGATATTCTGACATGCCACGGTTGGAAAAGCGCAGGTGCAAATAATAAAGTAAGAATGTGACTTTCATTTTGCTGTTGCTGTGTCCGGGCCCCTATTATTTTTCATCACAGTTCACCATCGCGCTGCCATTACTTGTTGAGACACTCAAATAGCTACAACAGTAGCACCTGTGGTTTTCCAATATGGAAAATGTCTAATGTGAAAACTGCCTATTGTATCAATGGATTTTTTTTTACTTCCGTCTTTACTCACTTTGTTCCAACATCCAGTAGATGTAGTAACTGTTTAATTTTGTGCTCAGGCATGTTTTCATTTTGTATTTATTTTGTACTAGTGAATGGGAGCTTATCTCACTGACCTTGGTTAGGTGTCCCTATAGAGATATCAGCAGAGCTTGTTGTCACTGATAAGCAGAGACAACAAGCTCTGTGGCACTACAGCACTGTGTTATGTAACTTTGTTTAAAAGTCATGGTAAAGCTATAAGAGCTAATGAACTGCATAGGTGTTCAGGGGTATGTTTGGTCTCACACCGGGGATTAGGCTGAATTTGGAGTTTGAAGACCCTCACCGGGCTTAAAAGTCTCAAGACTTTACTCATTAACCTAACATAATTATGTTTAAATAATTTCAGATTCATTTAAAAGTGTTTTTGTTTTCAGTCTGCTTCAGAACTTTCCAGACTTCACTTACCATGCACTTTCATTATTTTTTTCTTTCTTTTTTAACCTTTATTTGGCCAAGGAAGTGATGGCCATACCAGGCCCCATGAAGCTTTGAACCCTTTTGGACCATTGTATTGAAAATTGGTTCACTACTCGAACTTCATTCATTGAGCACGTGGGTGACATCTGCTGGCGCAGTGGTTGTTGTGCAGCCTTGCAGAGGTGACACTGATGCACCTTGCGTGTGCATGAGTTTTGTTTTAATGATGAGTTTTGTTGTAATGTGGAAATTACCTACATAAAGCTGAAATCTAACTTCATTTTACGTGTCTGTTTTTCTTCCTTGCCTTATAAAGTATCTGAAATGAAATGTTACACACTGGACAGAGTAAATATGTACAGGGTTCAATGAGGCTGTGGATGTAATTAATGTTCTGACAATATAATATAATACATTATGTGTTCTGATTGTGCTTGGTGTACACTGGGTGTGTTTGTTTGACTCGGGCATTCCGGGCTGTCGGCCCTAACTTTTCAGGCCCAATTACAGCTCTACTCCACAGTGGATGGTTTTAGACGATTTCGCTTTTTTGAGACAACTTCCCCCGCT